AGAAAGAAAGAAAGAAAGAAAGAAAGAAAGAAAGAAAGAAAGAAAGAAAGAAAGAAAGAAAGAAAGACACCACGCAGGCAAACTTGCTGTTTTGATGTGAATGCAATGCAGCTGTGGTATTCCCCTTCTGGGTCTCCAAATATCAGGCAGGTACTTGGAGATCCCAGAGTTCAGCCAACCCCTCTCCCATCTGGTTGTGGAAATTTGAGTTATCTTTGGCAGCTCGATACTGTCACAGAGATTTCAGTATTTCCAAAGGTCCCCAAGTAGTTCATAGGATACCATTTTAGGAAAAAATAAAGTCTGTATTGACTTAAAAAATATCAGAAGGCCTATATATGTCATAGGATTTGCTTTCATCTGGTAGAAAAGCACCCTGGTTTATGGAAGAAATGTCCTAACAGCAGCAAGAGCTCTGTGGTTCCCTAGAAACAGTTGCCTATAAACTAACATGAGATCTATCTTACAGATAGATGACTTACTCGCAGATGCTACAAGAGACCTGAGGCTGGAAGTGGCCTCGCTCCAAGAAAAACTCCGTGAGTCCCATGCACGATACACTGAAGAGGCCGAATCAAAGTCAAAAGAAATCGAAGACCTGAAAAATTTGGTTGCAGAATTTGAATGTCGCTTGAAGAAGGAAACTGGCCACAAGGATTCCGTTTCAGAAGACTTGAAGAAGGAAGTGAAACAGAAGTCAGAGGAACTGGAAAGAGTAATGCTGGCCCAAACAGAGCTGCTGCAGCAGTTTAGTCAGTCCCAGGAAGAGGTAGGATGCAGACAACCCCTCGGTGAAGAACCGGGCCATTTAAAAAGCAAACAGGCACGAAGTTGACAGGCAGTTTGAGGTCAGGAGAGAGTCATAGCCTGGCTCCATGGCACCCCTGGGCTTCCGTGGGACAGTTCTCTTCTTTTGAAGTATTCTGTGTTCTCTGAGACTCTGATGCATGCATACAATGTATTTCTGTTGGTCATATTCATACACACCCCTTCCTTTCTTTCAACTTGTGCATTTCCCCCTTGTTCTCTTCCCAACTTGATATCTGTTTTTGTTTGGTTGTTTGGTTTGTTTTTATTTTAATAACAGTCCAATTAGTGCTACCCTTGTGTCCATGGGTGCACAGCCATCTTCTGGGGCCTGGTTCATCTACCAGGGAGCCATACTCCTGAAGAAAAACTGGCTTTCTATCCTGTAGCAGCCATCAACAGTGCTTCTCAGCTAGGGGTGGAAAGCTCACGTGAATCTCCCTGCTCCCTGCTCCCTGCGGGATGCTGACAGGCTTGATCTGTGTAGCTCTTCTCTGAGCAGCTTCAGCCCCCACAGGGTTCAAAGTACAAGAGTCTTGCCATGTCCGGGAAAAAGCCCAAACTATTTCTTAGACTCTTTCTGTTCCCTCTTCCACCGTGTTCTGTGAGCTGTGGGGGCTGTGCTATGACACTGATGTCTCGTTTAGGGCTGAGTCCTTTCTAGGAAACAGTTCTGTGTTGCAAATGATCATTTAACAGCTGCAAGACTAGGACTCCTACAAATTAGATCTTACTTGCTTTAACATTAGAGCTTTGCCAAAGAAATTTTCAGAGCACATTCTGCTTAAGTTTAAAAAAAAAATACAGCAATATAAAGATAATTTGACTTTCATGTTTTATAGCTCTGTCAGCCTGAACTTGTAAGGTAACTTATGCATTTGTCTTCTGTCTTCGGGATGCATGATTATGTCAATGTTTTTTAGCCTGAGGCAGGCTCCTTTTTACTGAGAAATGTTTATCTCTGGCTTATTTATGAACTGCTTACAGTTTATAAATGGTATAACAATTGATTATACTTGATCCCATTTATGACAATATAGCATATAAAGGAAATGGACCATTTTGAATGCTAGGGAGAAGATTTCTTTCGGCCTTATTGGCTTCTTAATAAAGAAGCAAAGGGAAAGTGCTAGCAATAACATTGGTTATTAACAATAAACGCTATTTTCTTGCCATACTTAAATATCCATCCAAAACTGAAAGCTTATGCCACCGTAAGGTGGGGCACTGACAAACAAGCATGGGCAGTTTCACAGGCTCACACAGTGAGAGAGTCAAGATGCAAATGTGAAGCTCTGTGGGACCACGTCTCCTCTTCCAGGAAGAATTTCTGATTCTAAATTTCTGGGGGATCTCGGGCTCAGCCCACAATATCTTCTGGTCTCAACCACTTACTTTTACTCTAAAAATGAACAAAAACAAAGCAGATAAACACAAAACACCCAAACAGTAAATTCAATCCAGCCTGGTCTGGAAGAGGAAGGCACCACCAGAGGGTCAGGCAGTTGCCTCATGCAGGAGGACAGCAGCTCAGTCCAGGCAGGAGAGGCCTAGGAGCACACTGGAGAAACTGAGGAAGGAGGTGCTGCTCATCTGCTTTTACTGGGTTCGGGTAAATTGCCAACCCCATGGAGAAAATCGGGCTGAAGGAGAGGAGGGCCAAGCCACTGGATGAGCTAGTCTGAACTCCAAAACAAATGGCAATGCACAAAATGAGAAGTGACTCATGCAGGGGACAAATACAAAAAGAACAAGGTCATTTTTTAATGTGAATTATCATCTGTGTAGGTGCTAGGCACTGTGCTAGATAAGCAGTGGTGTAACTATAAACAAAATGGTGGCAACTTTCTGGGAAATGTTAAAGAAGGCTGTGAGTGAATGGTCGAACTAACACCCAGACGAACAATGCTCTAAATAGATATGTGCCACACGAAAGCCTAGACTGAAGGGTAGAGACAGCCTCCCTTAAGAGCCTATAACTTACCACTACTTGACAAACTACCCCCAAAGCCGGTGATTTAAACAATAAGAATTCACTGTCTCGTTTCTCTTTTGAAAGATTTATTTACTTCTATTTATGTGTGCATACTTGTCTGTGTGGGTATACGTATATAGTTGCCAGTACACACAACTGTGCTCACCAGAGGAGGTCAGAAGAGGGTTCCAGGTGTCCTTCTCTGACACTCAGCCCATTTGAGACAGAATCTCTTTTTGATCCTGAGGCTCTCGCTTTCTCAGCTAGGCCAGCAAGGCCCAGCATTCTCCATCCACAGAGCTGGAGTCAACGGGTATGTGGGAGACACCTAGCTTGCTGCATTGGTGCAAGGGTGCAAACTCAATTGTCATGTTGTGCAGAGAGCACCCCTAAACACTGAGACCTCTCTCCAGCCCCCGACATCTCATTTCTGTAAATGAGGAAGCTGTTGTAGTTTAGCTGGGTGTCTATGGTTCAGCGTCTCTTAAGAACTTGGTGTGAGGTGTTAAAGGGGTAACAGTCTGAGCTAGAGGCGTGGCTGACAGAGGCTGGGATTCTACTTCGCTAGTATAAGCAAAGTTAGAGTAACAGCTTTTTCCTCGTGGGCTGTTAATGGAGTGTGGCTGTTTGCCAGAGACATCCCTCATTCCATGCCACACGGGCCTCTCCATAAAAGAACTAACCCTGTGTGCTAGCTTCCTCTGGACAAGCACAGTAAAGGTACCGAGACAGAAGCCACAGTCCTTAGGTAGCCCAGCAGTGACACCTCCCGGCTATTTTTTTTAAATTCTGTTCATTACGAATGAGGCAGTAAGTCCAGCCCACATGCACGGTAAGGAGGTGCCCAAGCTGTGACTAGCAGGAGAGAGGCCTTGAGCCATCAGAAGCTTCTGCATGCGTTACTTTTTCTGTGATTTGTTATCTATTGCTGTGATTCAGCAACATGGTCAAAGCAATGAAAGAATAAGTTTATTTGGGCTTATGCTTCCAGGGGGCTAGAGTCAGTGATGGTGGAGCAAGGACATGGCCATGGCTGGCTGGTACAGCAGCTGAGGGCTCAGCTCTTGATCCACACACAGGAGGCAGAAAGAGACATTGGGAATGAGGCCAGTCTTTTGAAACCTCAGAGCCCCCAGTGTGCCCCCAGAGACACACCTTCTGCAACAAGGAATATCCCCAGTCCTTCTCAAACAGTCTCACCAAGTAGAACCAAGTATTCAGACATGAGTGTATACTACATCTTCTGGACACACCTTCTGGAGGTGATGTTAGCAAAACTAAAAGTGACTTCTTTAGAGCTAAGGAGAGCTCATCTCGTCATGCCCGTAGCCATGAAAGGTTTTAAGGTTTGTTTGTTTTAATGTGGACTTCTGGAGTAGAGAGACGTCTCACAGTGAAAAGCAGCAGTTCTTCTTCCAGGCGACCTGGGTCAATTCCCAGCTCCCAGACGGGAGCTCACACTGTCTGTAACTCCATTCCAGGCGCCCTGATACCTTCTTTTTATCTCCAAGGACACACATGAAGGGCACAGACATACAGTAAAAACAAAACAAAATATGGACTTCTGAAAGATAGAAAGATATTAGGTTAGTATACAAACTAACTAGTCACGGGTCATTGCTAGAAAGGGGAAAAGTATTGTTCATAAAATAAAGCAAACAATGAAAGAATGCTGGAGGGCAGTTTTCTTTCATGAGAGGGACAAGTAGACTAGGGTTTTCATCAGAACCTACCAAAATATCACCTCAGATTAAACAATGAGACCTGAAGGCTATTTCTTTGTCTAAACATGCCAAAGTACAGAATATACTTATAAAATAGGAAATGAGCCCATGAAAGTGATAGGATTTTTGAGCAGAAAGAATGTGAGCTGTAAATAAAGTCTTATAAAATGAAAAGTTCTGTATGTTTTTAACCAGTGTTCTTAGACACTTTAAGTTCCTCAGATTCTGGAGACTTTAGAGCTGTAATTACTTGGATAAAAAAAAAATCCCATTAGAATAAAAATAAATTAGTGTTCTCCTAAGGAAGCTAATTAAGGTGAAGAAAGTCCTGTTCTCTTTCAAGAGGCCAAAGAGAGAATGGGATTTGTTTTTAACTGCAGGAAAGGGTTAGTAGGAAGCTGAAGCCACTGACAGGCAAAAGGGGCCTTCCTTAGTGTAATGACTTGGGAAGTGAGAACAGCAACATAAGGCAGAACAGTGAGGAGGTGTAGTAACTCACAAGACAGGGAACAGAAAACAAAACTACTGAAAATGTAAAGTTGAGTAAGACTCCAAACAGCTCTTGTGGAGGTGGGGGTGGGGAAGACACACACACAACACAATAAAAAAAAAAAAAAAACCAAAACTGGAACATCACCAACAGAAGAGAGAACAGGAAGTTAATGTTAGCAAGTAGCACACTAAAGCCAAATTAAACAGGTCGTGTTTTTGGCACCAGTGGTCCCCCTTCCTCATGTGAGTTCCACGTGAGTTCTATTAAGACAGTGTGACTCAATGTAAGGGGCCTCATCTTATGTTCTATAGAAAGAAAACAGCTCAATCTTTTTGTTGTTTTAAGACCATAAAAAGTGAGTAAGGGGTGGCGGGGTGGGGGGAGGCAGAAGTTTCAGATACTGCAGTTTTTGTAGCCCATCTAATGGTAGTTAAAAATATTCAAAAATAGAAAACAGTGCTCCTCCTTAAAGATGGGGAACGGAGTGGGTGTGTTTGTCTCTACTCCACCACACTGCCATGAAATAAAACGCGGGTAAACCCATCAGGGCAGAGGAAACAAGAGAAGAACTAACACCCGATGAAAAAGACAGAATTTTGGAAAACGGAAAGCCAGTTCCTGAGAGATAATGGACTTGGAAAAGTATTGAAACTTAGTAACCATTGTGGGTTTGCGGATCCCAAAGATGAAACTAATTACATGGTACAATAAGGAGGCTCAGGAAAGAGAGACACAAAATGCCTGGCCTACAAAGCGCGTCCATAACAGCC